CAACAGTACGGTATCGGAGACCCGTTGTTAGGATGGATCGGTAACTTTCTCTCTGAACGGCAGTTAGAAGTTAGAGTTCGATCATCCTTTTCCGATCCGATTCGAGTGGGATGCGGCGTACCGCAGGGTTCGGTACTTGGGCCTCGTTCGTTCCTGCTTTTCATTAACGATCTAGTAAGATTTATTACGTCAAAATTCTTACTCTTCGCGGACGACCTCAAGGTTTGGCGGGCAATAAAACGATCGGACGACCATGAAGTCCTACAGCGTGACTTGAATGAGGCCTGGAATTGGTCGGTGAGAAACGCCCTGCCGTTTAATGTGAACAAATGTCGCGTTGTTCATATCCGCCATCGACAAGTCCACGTCTACAAGCTTGGGGCTTACGATCTGAAGACCACCACTCAGGAACGCGACTTGGGTGTGCTGGTACAGGAAGACCTCGGGTGTTCCAAACAGTCAGATTCCGCTTCTAAAAGGGGCAACCAGCACGTTGGACTCCTGCGAAGAGCATTCGGAATTTTGGATCCATCCATCTTCTCTTTGATGCTGAATGCCTACGTGCGTCCTCACGTCGAATATGCAATCCAGGCCTGGCAACCCTAGCTAAAACGTGACCTTGCAGCGCTTGAGACCCCACAGCGTCGAGCAACGAAAATCGTCAAGGGCTTGCGCCACACTCCTTACCAGGAACGACTGGAGATACTCGGAGTGTTCAGCGGACGGTACCGGCGACTTCGTGGAGACCTCATACTAGTGAACCAGATTTTGAGCGATCCCAGTCACGTATGCCGTCACCTCTTGAAGCTCAGCCCGAACACTAACCTTCGCGGTAACAGTTTAAAGCTGAGCCAACAGTACAGTCGTCTAGACTGTCGGAGAACCTACTTCTCCCTCCGGGTCTGCGGGACCTGGAACGCCCTTCCAAACGCAGTTGTTTGTGCCTCTCCCCCTATTAGATACGTTTAAAAACGATTGGACGTCGCACTGAGCGCCCTGCGCTTTGTTTTATGAACGAAAACGCTTGTATATATTTAGGCTGACCAGCCTCTTTGGATTTATACCCCAAATTCACGGTCGTAAATCTGTGCGAACCGGTGAGTACTCCATCTTTATTTGCTACCATCACCAACGATAGCAATTTCTTAGCCAGTTTTGCGTCGTACCACTTTATACCCCTAAAACTGTTACACTTCTACCTTTTACCTCACTGACGCTCCTTACTTCAACCACTTATGTGGTTTGCTAATTTGTTAGTATTTCTATTGCCAACTTGCGGGACTCGTTAAGTGTATGCTTTTTTACCCGTCATATACCATTGTTCCATTGTTCCAATAACATTGGATACAAGAGAAGTGACCAAACTCGGTGTTCACATTTGCGGCAAGCCTACCGCAACGCGTGTTGTTTGCTTATTTTGATATAAATATTGTTGCTGTCACTATCTAACAGCAGAAAACTGCTAAGCGTTTGCTAGTATATCCGGGATAAATCCATTGTTTCACTGTTGTTCCCTAATATATAGTCAGACATGGATTTGTGGAACTATCAGAGCATGTTAAGGCAATATAAACTCACAGATAGTTAGTGTTATACAGGTTGGGGGTAATGGCAACCCAATCGACTCGCCTGAGGAGAAACTTTATTTCATTCCGGAACGTCGAAAACCGAACTGTTAGTTGCGTTTCGGGTTTTGGGAACACCCGCCCTGCGTCTTGGATTGCGACACGCAATCTCAATCGGGGACTCGGTTGACTTTGAAGTCAGCCTCCGCCAACACGGTCATTGGGACCGTCACTTAACTGGAGGGTTTCGGTGTGCCTTTCTTCCATCCTTGCATTCCACGACCGAAGGTTTCGTCCTTGTTTAGACTCATCAGGTAGAGATAGCCGACCTGGGAGTGGAACTCGGCGCACAGTGCTTGGCAGCTATCGCCATGATCACTAGGCTATTACGCTCCGCGAGCAGTGTTTGGCACAGCGGTTAGAAGCTGATTATCTGGTTTTGGAGCATCCGCCGCGTGTCTAGGATTGCGACACGCAATCTCAATCCTGGCCCCGGTTGACTTTGAAGTCTCTGTATGAGGTGGGGCTAGGTTTGCTTCCATCGGTCGCGATGACTTGGTTCGTGGTTCCCAATGTTTCTAGTACTGTGTACGTGTGAACGCCTGGCATGTTTCCTTGGTTTTGAGGCAGCAATTGAGGGAGATGGATGAGGTAAGTGATGCTACTGTCGCCTCGAACGAAGCAGTTTTGTCTTCAAACGATGTTTAGTTTCGGCGGATAGGTTGTCGTACTTTAGTGTTAACGCATTTTACTGGTGGAACTATCGTGCAATTCGGACAGAAGCAAAGTGAACCTAACGTATTGTATTTCTTTATGTTGGTTCTGTAGACGTTGACGCATTTCGGATGGTACCGGTCTTGGCAATTCGTACAAGTCAACCCTCCTTTTAATATCTTAGCACAAGTTTGATTAGCCCAAAATACTTCGTTTCGTGTTACCAGTATGGTGGTCATAATGGCATATTTCCCTAGAATAAATTCAAAATGGCGTAGACAGAAGGCATTTGGGCCAATCAATGAAAACTCCGAAATTAGCCACAGAACATGCACCAGCTTTACACAGATTGAAGAATACACCGAAAGAAATATTTGGTGCACAGTTCCCACAAATAAATCACGTAAAACAGCGTAATCCCGAATAAAAAGTGGAATCCATCAAGTAATCCAAAAAGCCGCGGCTTCCGTGGGTAAATTCATTCACGAAGTCCCAATGCAACATGGCTTCCGACAAAAATGCTCATGCACTGAAGCCGTTGGTGGTGGAGCAGGGGTCGATGCCATGAAGCTGGACTTCTCAAAAACGGTTGATTTCTTAGACCACAGAATTCACTTTCACATACTTCGGCTCGATGCTGCGTTAGATGGGGAATTTTCTGCACGAAGGTCAGTTGGATGTGAAAGTACCAGAACCCCTGTCCGACGCAATTGAGATGGAGTGCGGTGTATCACAAGGCTCGATGCTAGCGCCTCTTCCATTCTTGCGTTTAATAAACGATCTAGCAAGGGAAATTACTTCCGAATTCTTACTCTTCACGGATGATGTCAAGTTATGGCGAGCGATCGGGGAACCGAACGACCACGAAAAGCTCCAGCGTGACCTCAAGACGATTTCCAGTTGTTCAGTTCTGAATAAACTACCACTCAAGTTAGAAAAATATCACGCTGTTCAATTGCACCGTAGGAGTGGCCAGGGGTATTGCTTTGGGTCACATATATAGCAAACCAATTCCCAGGAACCTGAACTTGGTGTGCTCATTCAAATGGACCTTAATTGTTCAAATCAGTCAGAAGGAGATACGAAAAGAACCAACCAGCACGTCGGCTTACTACGGAGAGCATTCGTACATTTCGACCAAGTCATTATCCCCATGACGCACAACTATTACCTGTGCGATCGCGTTGAATAAGCCACCCATTCACCCACTGAAATAATTTGCACAGCAGAGCCGCCTGAAATGCTGCCGGAATTATTTTTCTCTACGCGTTTGCCAACGCTAAAACTCTCTCCCAAAATTCGTTGTTTCCTCCCCCAAATTGGATATTTTCAAAGGAGTATTGGATCTTGCCCTTGGCCTCCATCACTTAGTTGCCTAAACTGTGTAACTTCGGAATATATTAATTATCCCTCCAAACCGGATTAACGTGTTATATAAACCTGAGGATGCGGGACAGAAGTGAGTATTCTAGTTTTCACCTGTTACTTTTCTCAGAGTACAACAACTGTAACTGTCCCAATTTGCCTCGTCTTTCGCATTTAATTCCCACTTAAACTACTATTATTCAACAGTTTATCTGCTAGATAAACGCTCAAACAGACAACTCACCTATCTTTTGATACCTGTGGTTTTACCCCCAACATCCTGCGGAACTTTTCAAGCAATTGATTTTTTACCCAGCATAAACAATTGTTCATTGTCTTGAGAAGAGTAAACTCGGTCAATAGGTATCAAATTATTTCAGTAGTCTGAATTTCAGTGAGTTGTTGGTCATGCTTGAAGTAATTTCCTTATAAGCCGAGTGAACTATTTAGTTATTGACTACGATTTTGAATCTGTATAAAGTAAAAGGCATGTCAGCAATGTCCTCTCTTATTAACGTTTTGCCACGTCACCAGGGCACGTTGTAGTAGTGTCTGCGGTGAATCGTATCGCAAACAGGAAGCAACGGATTAAATTGTAACGCAAAATTAACCATGAAATATTCTTGCATAGTAGCTGGCTGGTAGGTTTCCGGAATGATGCCCATCCTTTACCGGTAACACAGCTGGCATGCACCCGTTGCATGCTTTTTTTCTATACGTACTGCTACCGAGTAGCTGAGGAGATTCCCATCGATAGCAAACGTGTATACTGAATGATAACGACAGAGTGGATGAGATGTTGCTACCTCACATACTGAAGCTCCTTGGACAAATTAAGAGCAGCTTCTTCAAACAATGTTACATCTTATGTCCCACTGTCAGTTTTCTCAGTTATTATTCCTCATCATTCACGTTGTCTGAAAGTATAAAATAGTGAATATTTTCGTAATTATTTTGCATAACTCAAATGTTCTTATTATTTTATAATAAGTAATTTTTAGTTTGAAATTTCTCACCAAACTTTTATCTAAAACTAAAAGCACATTTATCTTTACATAATTACCCTGCACAAAACATCAGCTTTATTCTGGTTCTTAAAAAACCGGTTCATTTTGATTATATAATATGATACCAAGGATCACAATTCTACCGTCAATGTTACAACGTGCCCCGTACCCCGTGTGTCAGAAAATGGTCAGCTGGCACAGCAAGCTAACGGGCGCAGAGAAAACGCTTATGGAATAATCAAAATAAATGCAATACCTTTGTTATTTGAAGGCTTGTAGACATTGATTAAATAATAAACGAGCTACACAAAATGTGAGCAAAGCTTTGTTCACCAGATTTGAAGAAAAAGAAATTCAGAAATCTTGAATCTCGCTTCATACTTCGCATGAAACGATGAAGTGATCTAATGCTCATGTCCAACTTGCAAGGAAGTAGTGTGGTCGTTTGTAGATGTCCCGAAATTGTTGTGGTGTAAAGTTGCCCCGTGGTATTTTCTCTGGTTTATCCTATCGTTTTTCTATTATTCCGTATTTAGGCACGCGACTTTTGTGTTTTAATCTGTTGCCAACATCTTCCTACCAAGGATCAAGGAGGCGGTCAACGGTAAACTAGGTATTACAGGAACACGCTCACAGTATACAATCGTCTGCCTGAAAACTACCCGAGGCTAGCATGTCAATCAGACATTTTGCTTATTCCCAATTAACAACTAACTTTTCATAGATGCATCTACGTCCAGTGATTCCTAGTATCGCTTCGAAAATATGTAGTTAAAAGTTCTAAAATTCCGAGGCATGCACTACCGTTGGTCAAACCTGCGAATAAATATTGGTCTGAACTAAACCCTCAATCAGGAGGTTGGCAACTTTTGCCAACGAAATTTGTTGTGTGTTTTCTATTCCGGCGAATACTTGCGGAAACCCGCGTCAACATTAAATGGCGTGGCGTTGAGTGATAGCCGTCTGAATGTGTGTACCTCTGACGTAGCATCAAAATGCACTCTAAATTGCCTCCTTTGACAATCCTCTGTGAATAAATCTTGTTGGCAATTCAAGTCCGATAAAGAAAAATTACGCAGCGGCAGCGTCCGAATACTTCATATTCCTGAAGTGGGTTGATATGCGGCCCTGCTCTTTAGTCAGAAAAGAAGAACTGGCATGCTCGCCAGTATCCAAATAAGAGAGCTTTACGTCTCCTTTACATTAGTCTGAACCATATGTCCCGACTTGCCATATCGGGAAGTCTGTCAGCTATATGATGTGAGAGAGATGTAAAACTCTCTTATTTCAATACCTGGCGAGCATGCCACTTCTTCTTATGTATGATAGTTCCTGAGAAAGTTGGATATTCAGTCAGTTGTTGCAGACTTCATCTCTCCGTATGTTCCGGAGTATTTTAGAGGTCACTCAGAAAGAAGTCGGAAGCAATTGCCAAATAAATATCAGCTATATGATGGCAGCTGTTTCCTTCGTGGATACCCTTTTTAAGGACTATCAAGATGAGAACAACAGCGTTTAGGCTACTTTCAAACTAATAGGCTAAAACGTTTTTTGGGGAAGCATTATATCAAGTGCATTACATGATGGAATCCAAGTTACTGGGACACGCAACAATGTGACTAAACAATGCGCATACTTGCAATTTGTGGTACGTGTTTCTTGTTTTGATACATCAATTATTGCTCTCATTAATTAACAACAGAAAACGGTTAAGCTTTCCGTTTATATCCTTGATAAACACATTGTTCCATTCTTCCACGAGGGTGATGCTTGCCAAGACAATAGCATTCTCCGCAAGTGTTCTCCACATGTTGTACATAATATGAATGAAGGAAACTATATTGAGAAGAAAACATTTCACTACATAAGTTAAAGCCGTTGGTCAGTTGGTGTCTGATCAGCTGCTACTTTAGACCCATTTAGTATTTGAAGCGTAAACTTTATACTTCAAAATTCATTGATATCGGTCGAAAGCGGCCGTCGCTTCAATTCCAAAAACATCTGACTGAGACACAGAATTCATCTGGGCAACGCAAAGGGCATCAAATGACCACCGCTTAGCCATCAGTCGTTCTCAAAGGACTTTGTTTCTGAAACCTTTATTTGTTACGTGCACTTGCTTGAAGAGTACGCACGAGTTGGCGACCTAATCCGACTCAGTATTACTGTGTGATGCGACATTTTGTTTTGTAGTCAGATATGCATTGTTCATATTCATAGAAACATCCAAGGACGCTCACCGCTCAATGCTCTGAACAATGATTATACGAGAAAGTAAATTACCCAGCCAAGCATTGAACAGCGTAAATGTGCAATTTCTACCGTTAGAGTACAACTTATTCATTTTCACTAATTTTCGCTTTTAACAACTTATTTAAATTTCCAATTTTCGAAAAGTTTGTATGTAGGATACATAAATTTGTTCAAAACACATAAAAAATGAACAACGATTTATCAAGGGATAGAAGCATGTGCTTGTCTGGTCCCGTATGATGGATTGGATGAATACAAAGAAATCAGTGTAAATTAAAAATAATTATACGCATGGAGAACTAGGTGGAGTGTGGTGGGCGTTGTTGTAAGACGTGAGAAAAGTAAAATATAGTCGCTCACTTGGATCCATTTGGCACATAAATCCAGTAGAAGGGCATGATGGGCGTAATCCAAAATGACGGAATTTAGGTAATAAAGTTGGGAGCTAAGAGTAACAACTAAGCGTACTTTGGATAAATCAAAATTAGGGAAGGGTACAACTGAGTCTGGGAGTGCGTTTCAGGTTTGGCAAACCCCAAAGGGAAAAATAATTATGTCGGCTCTCTAGACGGCTATATTGTTCATTCAATTTCAAGCAGTTAACTCTGCGATGTGTGTTGTGGCTAAGTTTCAGCAAGTGGCGACATACGTGGTTGGGGTCACTCAATATCTGACGCTAATATGAGATCGCCGCTCAGCCTTCGATAGTGTCCGTTGAAAACTTAACAACTTCATCTTTCGCTGATAAGAGTGGTAGTGTAGGCTCTTGACATTCTTTGTTGCTATTCTTTGTGGTGTCTCTAACGCCTCTAGGTCGTGCTTCAACCAAGGTTGCCAAACTTGGATACTGTATTCAACTTATGCGCGCACGTAGGAATTGTGCATCATTCGGAAGACTGATGGGTGAAATCTCTCGAATACGCTTCGCAGCGAGGCGAAAACCTGGTTGCTTTTTTCGAAACTGCCTGAGCTTGTTTTGAACAGTTTAAGCCCCTGTACGAACACAGCAAGGTCACGTTCCTAGGAGCTAGTCTGCAAACCGTGTGCCCCAGATAAATACGTGTAATCATGTATATGGCGTAATTGCACAGTGCGACGTTTGCCTACGTTGAATGGATTGACCAGTTCAACACCGGGTTAAGATCGCACTGAAGCCGTTCGTAGTCGTCCGGTCCTCTGATCATTCGCCATATTTTGACAACATCCGCGAAAAGCAGGTACTCGGAGCAATTGATCTCGCCAAATCGTTATTGCACACCAAGAATAGACGAGGCCCAGGCACCGAGCCTTTTGGTACACCACACTCCAAACCAACTGCAGAGGACAGTGATTTCCGGACTCCCATCTCCAACCATCGTTCGTGTAGAAAGGTACTTATCCAAATCAGCATTTGGTCGCCAATGCCGTAATTCCGAAGCTTCTGAAGGAGAATTCGATGGTCTAAGCGATCAAACGCTTTTGAAAAGTCCAGATAGCTGACATCGACTCCTGCTCGAGCATCAACGGCTTCAGTCCATCTATTACGTGCAATTAATAGGTTAGTATTACATAAACGCTTTTGACGGAAGTCATGTTACTCTGGGACTGTTATGCTGTAGCTTTCCAGATACCTCATCCGCGATGATTGATTTCATAACTTTAGATAGTACAAGAAATAGTGTTATTGGACGGTAATTGGTCGGGTCAGTTCAGCTACGTCCTTTATGTATGCTAGTGATGACCCCTCATTTCCATAATGGAGGAATATGGTTTTCCTCTAGATTTCGCTGATTGAAAACGGCCATTGGTTCTGCTAGATGACTAGCTACTGCCTGCAGAGGCTTTGGTCGAATGTTGTCGACTCCAGGCGAATTGTGGATAAAGAAGGATAAGAACCTGTTCAACACAGCTTCCGCAGTGAAGTTGATGTTGTATAAACTCGACGGTGGCGTACTAGAAACTAGGAGAATATTTGGGCTGGGTATCTGCCGGAAAGTTTGGGAATGATGAAGCCTCAGGAGATCGGCTGCTTCCATTGCTGTCCGCATGCATGTATCAGCCGTGACCAGTGCTGGAATCCCGCGCTTCACCTATCGATGGTGGTTAACGTGCCTGTACGGACGTCTGCGTATCGGGCAGAATGGCTTCGTTGACTCCTGCTGATGCGTGACCTTGTGCTCGGGGACCAATTTCACACAGAAGTTTTGTTGTGTCACGTATGCAGTCCATGTTTCGGCATTTGGGTGGTTCTTGTGAGCTGGCCAATCCAAATCCCTCAGGGATATGAATTTACGTCTCCCGCTCTTCAGAAATGACTTATATTTGATTTCGGTTGGAAGGACTTCTGTTTGGATGCGTGCGCTATCAGTGTGCTTAACGCTCTTGTTATCGTTTTCCAGGCAATGTCTAGGGGGCATTCGGTTAGAAAAGTCCAGCGTAGTCAGCACGTTATAATGCGTGACAGTATGCATTTTATCATTTTCCTTTTATGGATATTCCGTATAGCATATATAGGCAAAGAATGGAGTAACATGATCACTGCGACCCAGTGGCATACTTGTAACTATCCCATCGACCATGAGTTCATCTTCAGTGAGGACAGGACTGAAGGTCGGTGGCCTGTTAGCAGTTCGAAATCTGGTGGGATTGGTTACGTCGTTTTACAGAGGGTGGCTGGCAATTAGCTCTTGCAAACAGGATTTAAACTGCTCACCATCGCTTGCTGGCGTTTCTATGTCATGCATGTTAAAGTCTTCAGCGATAAGAATGTGGGTTTAGGACTTGTTCAAAGTAACCTGAAAGACGTGGTGCAGTTTGGAGTCCATTTCCAAACTAGAGTTTGGTGGACGGTAACTTACGGCGAGTAGACATGTGTACTTGTTTCGCAACCGTAGGCGGCACCAACACAAGTCTGAAGAGTGCACGTCCGGGTGATCGATAACTTCGCATCGGATCCTTGTATTATAATAAATAAGCACACCGCCACCCCTTCCAGTTCTGTTGTTCCGAAGCAGCGACATTCCTGGTAAATTGATCTCATAATCGGTTTTCTCAAGGTTTAACCAGGTCTCTGTAACCATGACGAGGTCCCTCAGTTGTGAGTCATTGAGTTCTCTAACTCTGGCCAACTTAACAGGCCCTGGGTGTTTGTGCACACACAAGATAATGTGTTCCTTGTTAGGAGTGTGTCGGTGGATGTCAAATTTGTTTGTTTTTAGGCCGACCGTTAGGTGGCCTGCGTTTAATCGTGTTTTGATTGGTGAATTTCAGTCAAGTTGCATGGCATTGCTGAGCGTTTCTGAACAGTAGTTTAGCTGGTGCTATGC